TTTGATATTTAGTTATAATTAAAAGCCTTTTCCCTTTTGATCACCCCCTCCTCTTTTATTGTTGTCTGAGCACTTTACAGCTCAGTAGTTCAGAATAATTACTAATTTGGCTTGATTAAGAAAACTGCTTTGAAAATGTCAGAAAATACATAATTCATCTGTTTGCAGCTTTTTCCTGAAGCCTGCCCTCCTCCTCCTCCTCCTCCTCCTCCTCCCTCTGCTGCATGAGGTTTGGCATGAGTCACGGTCGGCCTCTTCTCACCCGATTTGTGTCCACCAGCCGGGCTGCCACGCCCAATTTCACTTCAGCCCGCCAGCGTATTGTCGAATGACATCTCCGCGCGCTGCTAGGCTGAGGTCAGCCGTGGCCTGAGCCCGACCCTGGATGTGAACATGAGTCAGTGTGTGTAGAGGCTGGACTCTGACAGGCCTCCCTGCAGCAGATTTTCATCTGTTAGACTGAACAGCTGCTGCAGTCTGCCTCCAGAGCAGCTATTAGTCCTGACTGCTGAAACTCACATTATGACATCAGTCCTTAACATCGTTACTCTGATAATAATCCTTCCTGCTGCCGAGAAGAAAAAAGCCTCTGAGCTGCTCGTTACAAAGAAAAACAAAACAAGCTGTACCTCAGACATATCTGTAATTATTTCTGTGCAAGGTGCTGAAAGTCTTTTTTTTATGTCTTACCCTTCACTCAAAGCCGGAGAACTTGCTCCTCGCCAGCAAGTTGAAGGGAGCAGCGGTGAAACTGGCAGATTTCGGCCTGGCTATTGAAGTTCAGGGGGATCAGCAGGCATGGTTTGGTGAGTATGAACAACTTCTCAATTAGATGGGGTTTATGTTTTTAGTGGTTACTTTTGATTTGGAAATGCAGTCGGCATGATACAACTGTTAGTAGTGTTGACCACACACGAGACCAAGACGTACCCGAGACCAGAGTGCTCCAAGACCGAGACAAGACCAAGACATTTAGGGATCCAGACCGAGACAAGACCAAGACATTTAGGGATCCAGACCGAGACAAAACTGAGATCAAGACATACCCGAGACCAGAGTACTCCGAGACCAAGGCAGGGCGAGATAGAGTCAAGACCGAGACCATAAATATCCGTGAAAAATCATCATGTTGTGTGCATCAGGCGTCTCACTCACTTTGACCGTAACAGCGGGAAGGTTGCGGCCGTAACCAGGGGAAAAAATTAAATTTGAGTGTATTCATAATTAACTTTGAAAAAATATATAAATGATCTGTGGCACACTGAAAACTACTTTACTTGTGAGTGAACAATGCAAATACAATTCACTTTATTCTGAAGTTGCTTCCCTTCCGTTCTTAAAATTGGACAAATTTGACGTTCTCTATCTATGGAGCTTAAAATGATAATTTCCCTTTTCTTTAGGTTTGATCTTGAGTTTCCTGACACACAGATCTCATTTCAAACCACTCTAAATGTGTCCCTTTCTCTCAGGTGTAACATTGTAAACACTTAGCATTGGCTGCTTTTTTAGGACAGGTCGTCCTGCGCTGATCGGTCATTTATCTCCTGGTTTTTATTCGTCTTTAAACATTTAAAATCAAACCGTCTAACGTGTCATTTTATCATCACAGCCTGCCCCAGCTGTCTGAAGGGACGAGCTGTGCCACTGCTCTGGGCTCCGGTCTGGATCGAATATATTTCAGACCTATTTCTTCTCTTTATTCCCCGAGGAGCAGAGGAATAATTGGTCTGTTCCCTCAGCTCCAGCCTCCATCTGGAACCAGTTCGCTCCGTGCTCTCACTTTACTACCGCTCGTACTACGTCTCATCGCCCACAGCCGCCCGCTCACTCTTTAAAGCTTTTTTAAAAAGTAGGCTGCATGCTGCCGCTCACGAGCCGAACTCCACACACACAAAAGGATGTTTGTTTTTTTTTCTTTCTCAGAGCTTGTTAACCTCGGCTCTTAAACTTTATGGGACCACTGATCCTGTGAAATGTTTGGTACGGAGGAGGTCTTAATGAGCTTTTGATAGACTTCCACACACAGGAAGAAGTGAAGTTAGTTTCACTAGTGTGCGGCACGGCTAAAGCTTTTTGATGACTCATAAAGTTGTATGTACTACGTGCATACAACTGTCCATTAAATGATATTTCAAACATGTCACTCAACAAAATAAACAATAATCCACGGGGTCTGGATTGTCAGAGTTCTGATCTCCATTTGTAGTTCAGATTGTAGTCCCAGATGTATTGACCAATCACGTATCAGCAGGCTTTTGTGTGTGCAGGAAAACCAGTCCATGTGGACAGAATCAAACCAGGCAGACCGTGACACCAATGTGTTTTTATTTTGTCAAAATCAAAAAAGATCCCGACCCGTATCATTGACTTTGCACCTTGCGTGTTGCACAGTGCACAAACGCTGCACAGAACAGACTTCACTGGAGTTAGGGAGAAATTAGCATCCTTCACTCGAGGACTGGCTATGATCGCTGATTGGCTCAGAGATTGTGAACTCAGCAATCAGTGGTGTCTTTTCTTTGAGCTACAACAAGTTCAGCTCTAGCTGTAATGATTTTTTTTATTCATTCCAAATCAAGTTTAAAATTCATTTTGAAGTTTCTCGAAATGTAATTTATTTTCTGAGCTCATTGAAAGCAGGATTATGCAGACCTCAGTGTCAGAAATATTCCCTCTGTATGCTGTGTTGATGTGTGTGTTTGTGTGCTTCAGGTTTCGCCGGCACACCAGGATACCTGTCCCCAGAGGTGCTGAGGAAAGATCCCTACGGCAAGCCGGTGGACATGTGGGCCTGTGGTGAGTCTCTGAGCTAACACACAGAGGAGCTGCTTATCAGATGTTACAGATCGCTGTCACAAACAAGGTTTGAAATGGCTGATCTCAGGCCTTACCTGGTTCTCACGCTGTGAGGTGCATATGTAAAGATCAGGGTCGGTCACAAAACCCTCCAACCTCTTAAATTAATCATTTCTGACGCTTACTACACACCTCTGTGATGGGCCAGGCCACCTGGGCACGAGACGTCTAACACACACACACACACACACACACACACACACACACACACACCTGTGCTGTCTCACTGCAGCCACATGAACAACAGTGAGTGTTGTGTTTGTGGTCGGACTGTCTCCTCACCACATAGAGCACCTTTCATCTTTTTCTGGCAGCTGATCAAAAGCACACACACTGTCTCCTGTAACACAAGAGCTGTGTGTGTGTGTGTGTGTGTGTGTGTGTGTGTGTGTGTGTGTGTGTGTGTGTGTGTGTGTGTGTGTGTGTGTGTGTGTGTGTTGACACACTGCTCTTTATTTATATATGGGTGTAAATGTGTGTTCATGTTTACCTGCATTAAAGACTGTTTGTACAAAGTTTTAGACTCATAATTCAGTCTTTAACTTTTGTGTGTTCAGCTTTGAAAAGGATTTGTGGGTCATGATGTGAGCTGTCTGTCAGGATTAACCATTGTGTGTGTGTGTGTGCGTGTGTACAGGTGTGATCCTCTACATCCTCCTGGTGGGATATCCTCCGTTCTGGGACGAGGACCAGCACAGACTGTACCAGCAGATTAAAGCTGGAGCTTATGATGTGAGTTTTTTATTTACATTTAAACTTTATTGCCATGAACACTTTTCAACATTATCGACAATTATCTACACTCTCTCTCTCTCTGACTTGCTGATCACCTTCTCTCTCTGTGCAGCCTGACTATGACCTCACACTTGGTACATTATCTGTTTTTCTGAGGTGTTTCTGAATATCTGTGGTTTAGTAATCTGCCACAGTTTGCACAGACCTCGGGTGATGTGATGTGATCAAATATAGCGTTCTCATTCAGCGTGCAGAGTTAGACTTCTCTTCACACTCTGAGGATACTCTACATGCAGCTTCATCAAGCTCACAGGCTGTGACTCTGCAAACTGGGGGGGGGATGTTTGAGGTTCACATCATGAAGTCCAGTAAGTTAATCTCTCTGTTATGAAGGGTGATGCTCCAGCTTTTTACGCTCCAGGATATGACTGGAAACTTAGTCATGAGAAGTGCTCGAGGCCACGGTCGTTATTACATCACAGACATGAGAGCGATGTGATCCACTGTTATAAATCCTCTGAATGTCAAAGTATTCTCCTAGATTTATTAAATCACAAAAGACGTCTTTATTTACACATTGAAGGTTCCCTGTTTTATCTTTGACCATTAGAAACACTATGGGGCCGTATCTTTAATAAGTCAACAGGGTGTATGTGTCGTAATTCAAATGAATGCCTAATTTACAACTCTACATTTCACGCCATCAAACCAACAGTTCCCGTCTCCTGAGTGGGACACTGTGACCCCAGAGGCCAAAGACCTGATCAACAAGATGCTGACCATCAACCCCGCCAAGAGAGTGACTGCGACGGACGCTCTCAAACACCCCTGGATCTGCGTACGCTTCACACACGTTCACACACGTTCACACATGTAGTCTATAGTCTGGTCTTCTTCTTCTCACATGAACTCTCTCCCTCTGTGTGTGCAGCAACGCTCCACTGTGGCGTCCATGATGCACAGGCAGGAGACTGTGGAGTGCCTGAAGAAATTCAACGCTCGGAGGAAACTAAAGGTGAGAGAGCGAGAGAGAGAGAGAGAGAGCGAGCAGGAGGTCCACACGAGCTCAGAGAAATGCGGCCGCAAGCAGAAGAACATCTAATCATTAACCTCTCCGGCTGTGTAAATACTCCAGTTTGTTCCCTCAGTGTTCACTTTTCTCTCCGCAGGGTGCTATCCTGACCACAATGCTCGCCACTCGCAACTTCTCAGGTAATAACGAGCGGTTAACAAGCCAACTCTCACATTTCCTTCCCACGCAGAGAGACAAACCTTCCTCATCTGTCGTAGATTTGAGCTTTTTGTTTTAAATGCAGCTCTTTTGACTGCAGCTGTTTTTCAAACGTCTGCCCTTTAAAGTCAGCGACAGGATCGATGCAGGACCGTCTTCAGGTCCTCTGAAAGGGCAGAGCACACAGGCCGACTCTGACTCCATTGATTGTTTCTCTCTTTGATGAATGACACTCAGGCGTACATTTGTTTATTTCCACTTTAATGTCCCCAAAAGTATCTTTAAATATTTCCCCCCTTGGTGTGAACGTGGCCTCAGTGTTTATTTTCTCTTTCTCCTCCCTCTGGTGTGATAACTCGTGGAAGGTAAGTTTTCCTCGCTCTGTCGTCTCTCGTCACTTCAGTGTCAGACTGAACTCTTGTTTCATACTGAGCATGTCATGAAGACTGAAGCATCGTTTTAAAGGCTTTCAGCTGGAATACTTTGTTCTGAGCCGTCATATTGGAGGAAAAAAAAACACTTTACATTTAAAATCCCATAGAGTTTTTGTAACGTTTTTGAAAATGCACTTAATCAGACAGTTGAGGAACTATAAAAAGAACCCTTCTTCCTTTGAAAGTGACGACTTTGAAACAATTATTTTAAAGTGGAAAAGGACAATTTTGTTGCTTTAGGCCCCGTGTCCACCTAGCATTTCCCCAGACAACTTAGACTCTTGCATGAAGCGTTTGTGCTCTGAGAAGAAAAGATTTTCAACTTGTGCTCGGACGGCCACACAAAAAAAAGCATAGCACTCAGAAAGAAAAGACGCTGGCGCTTTCTGCTGCGATCGCTCTCTCCTCGTTTCAGAGTTCGGCAGGTGCACACTCGGCCTCAGAAACGTTTCCTCCAATGTGACCACTGAAAGATATGTGATGTCACTGCAAACTTCTCTCGTTCACTAAACCTGCTCGTGTTTATGGTTGAATTAATCTTTCATCATCTGAAGAGATCTCCACATTGCATAAAATCACTCAGAGTTTTTAACCCTCCGCCTGCCAAAATGAACAATCACCTGTTTGTGTCTCGTTTGCATGAAATGATGATTCCATCTGTCTCCATCTTAAACATCAAGTGTTCTTCTACTAATGATTCAGCTCAGCTCCGTCTCATCTCCTCAATTCATTTACGTTTTCTCCTCTGCCACCGCTTCCTGCAGAGCTCACTTTGAGGATGCTCGTAATTGGCCAGCCTTGAATAGTCACTGCGTGGTGCGTGTGTGTTAAATCGAGCTGCCACTATTTCTGTGCATTGTTATCTTTTTCTCTACAGCAGCCAAGAGTTTGCTCAACAAGAAAGCAGATGGTGTCAAAGTAAGTTCAACTTCCCTCTTTGATCTGTTTCCTCATTTCTCTTTTTTTTTGCAGAAAGCTAAATACTTTTACTTTTGTTTTACATTCTTCAAACTGCAACCTCAGCTCGCGTTGTTCTTGGAATACTTGGTTTAAAAATAGTAGCGTCCATAAGTCGGGTTTGATTTCCCGAGTGGGTGTGACAGATATTTGCTGATAATTATCCTCCTCTGCATCGTCAATCACTGAGAGGGAAGAAGAGTATCTGTTGGAAAGTAATAACCGCTGATTAAATTATGATCTGACTGAGGGGAGATTACACTCAGCTCTCTGTCATTCTTAATTTGAATGTCTTAAAATAAAAAACCCTCTTTCCAGCCTGCACACTCAAGTCTATCTTTCACTGTTTTGGATTTAAAGCCCCTCTAACACTCTCATTCCTAAAGCTGTTTTCATTCTTTAAAGGAACACTAAACTGAAATCACACACATGTTTGTTTTCACTTGACCCTGAGAGTGATTGAGCTTGGTGTGAACTTTCTCTCCCTTTGTGTTGTGGCTTCTCGTGCAGAAGAGGAAGACGGATGTACAGAGCTGTTGAGGGTAGCCTGAGCCTGAAGTAGTTTGTTAGTAGACTGACCTGCAGAGGGTAGTTAGCATTAGAACCCCCCCCCCCCCCCCCCCCTTTGTTTTTAAATCCCACTGCAGTGCGTTTTTAAGGCTGGGGAGGCATGACATGACTGAACAGTCTAAGTTGATATAAAGATTATTATATTGATATAAGATTGTTATTTCTTGCTGTAATCAGTTACATTTAGATTCTTAAATCTTACGCCTGACTTATTCTCATGCTTTGAATCGACTCTGTAGCATACGT